ACGAGGTTGGAAATTAAATGACTTGCTTCTCTCTTTCTCATGGAAGCACTGGAATGCCCCAAATGTTTAACAGAAAGTGTGAAAAAAGCAAGTAGCGGACCTACACCTGAAACTGTTTCTTTAACTTTCGAATCCTCCTCAAAATTTACTTCTTTTTTCAGTCAATGTTTGTAAAGAGTGAAACGCAATGCAGCAACTTCTCACGGAAGCGAACAGCTTTAAGTTCAAGTTCATTAAGTTCGAGTTGATAGTTCTAACTTTACAACACCATTCGCAGCTCTCTTTTGAACTCCTTCGTTTGACAATTGAACGGATCAAACCGATGAACGCGGAGTCAATTATTTTGAACCCGCCTTTAAAGTTGGAAAACTCATTTGAATTACAAATGATTTTCAAAATTAATATTCGTATTTTCGCTCAGCCTTGCACGTGGAAAGAACTTACGAACTACACTAAATTCGAGCGTCTATTTAAGCTTCTATGGAGTCTAAGGACACGCTATTTCTATACTACCTTGGATATTGTCTGTTCTGTCCCGGTCGGCGAGTGTTTCGTATGCTGGATCAAGTTGTTCAGATACCTTTGTCACGATTTTTCTTCAGGTAAATAACCTATAGAAAGATATAGTTGTATAAAATACAGTGTTCGTCTTTCCCCAAACGTTTCCGCAATATCGTTTTGTTCCTTACTTAAATTAGTTTACTGAGTCAAATGTAACAAGGAAAAGCGTAATGCACATGCACGGCGCAGTTTAAGATAAATCGTCTGTGGTAGCCGCCATGACAGTTCTACTTGAACGTGACTTTAGATGCAAGAATTTTTATGGAATTTAGAAGCAAGAAATTCGTTCTTTATGTAAGAATAACATCCAATTAGATGGGGTTTTATATTTGCAACGGATCAGCACATCTAAGCCCACAAATCTGGTAAACTAAAGACAAATTTGAGTTTGAAATGAAGCAATTCTATTGCTCTACATCTCTTGGTGGCAGACATTAGTATAAAAATTACCATGACAACAGTTTGTCAAATACCCATGTCTTGAAAATACCCATGTACCCATGTATCCTAAGATAGAAGACCAACAATCAAAGTTAGCTTAGCTATTCCCAATAACTACACTTTTTTTGATGTCTAGTGAGTGTTTACATTGAAATTTCCTGATGTTCAATAACATTAAAGGACATAAAACTTATAAGCAGAAATTGTGCCGGCCCGAGATGTTTTTTTTATCACGATGTGGACCATTGTTACAATTAAAAGGAAAAGCAATAACTAGCTTATCAAATTAAACTTTTCCTACATCTTTTTAAATACTTATGAGAAAAGTTATAAGGTTTAAGTATGCTTCGTGTTTGCCCAGGGGCTCATCCAAGATCTTGAATTCTAGAATTCTCTTTGATTGGATTGTTCTTTAGTAGCTCGCGCACTTTTAGAATTATCTTTGATTGAATTGTTACGTTAGTATCTTGTGCTTTTTTAGAATTCTCTTTGATTGGATTGTTACGTTAGTATCTTGTGCACTTTTAGAATTCTCTTTGATTGGATTGTTACGTTAGTATCTTGTGCACTTTTGATTGGATTGTTACGTTAGTATCTTGTGCACTTTTAGAATTCTGAATTCTTGATTTGATTGGATTGTTACGTTAGTATCTTGTGCACTTTTAGAATTCTGTTTGATTGGATTGTTACGTTAGTATCTTGTGCACTTTTAGAATTCTGTTTGATTGGATTGTTACGTTAGTATCTTGTGCACTTTTAGAATTCTGTTTGATTGGATTGTTACGTTAGTATCTCGTGCACTTTTAGAATTCTGTTTGATTGGATTGTTACGTTAGTATCTTGTGCACTTTTAGAATTCTGTTTGATTGGATTGTTACGTTAGTATCTTGTGCACTTTTAGAATTCTGTTTGATTGGATTGTTACGTTAGTATCTTGTGCACTTTTAGAATTCTGTTTGATTGGATTGTTACGTTAGTATCTTGTGCACTTTTAGAATTCTGTTTGATTGGATTGTTACGTTAGTATCTTGTGCACTTTTAGAATTCTGTTTGATTGGATTGTTACGTTAGTATCTTGTGCACTTTTAGAATTCTGTTTGATTGGATTGTTACGTTAGTATCTTGTGCACTTTAAGAATTCTGTTTGATTGGATTGTTACTTTAAGAATTCTGTTTGATTGGATTGTTACGTTAGTATCTTGTGCACTTTTAGAATTCTGTTTGATTGGATTGTTACGTTAGTATCTTGTGCACTTTTAGAATTCTGTTTGATTGGATTGTTACGTTAGTATCTTGTGCACTTTTAGAATTCTGTTTGATTGGATTGTTACGTTAGTATCTTGTGCACTTTTAGAATTCTGTTTGATTGGATTGTTACGTTAGTATCTTGTGCACTTTTAGAATTCTGTTTGATTAGATTATTACGTTTGATTCTGTTTGATTAGATTGTTACGTTAGTATCTTGTGCACTTTTAGAATTCTGTTTGATTGGATTGTTACGTTAGTATCTTGTGCACTTTTAGAATTCTGTTTGATTGGATTGTTACGTTAGTATCTTGTGCACTTTTAGAATTCTGTTTGATTGGATTGTTACGTTAGTATCTTGTGCTGTTTGATTGGATTGTTACGTTGGTCTCTTTTAGAATTCTGTTTGATTGGATTGTTACGTTAGTATCTTGTGCACTTTTAGAATTCTGTTTGATTGGATTGTTACGTTAGTATCTTGTGCACTTTTAGAATTCTGTTTGATTGGATTGTTACGTTAGTATCTTGTGCACTTTTAGAATTCTGTTTGATTGGATTGTTACGTTAGTATCTTGTGCACTTTTAGAATTCTGTTTGATTGGATTGTTACGTTAGTATCTTGTGCACTTTTAGAATTCTGTTTGATTGGATTGTTACGTTAGTATCTTGTGCACTTTTAGAATTCTGTTTGATTGGATTGTTACGTTAGTATCTTGTGCACTTTTAGAATTCTGTTTGATTGGATTGTTACGTTCGTTTACGTGAGAACTTTCAGAATTCTGTTTGATTGGATTGTTACGTTAGTATCGTGCGCACTTTATGAATTCTGTTTGATTGGATTGTTACGTTAGTATCTCGCGCTCTTTTAGAATTCTGTTTGATTGGATTGTTACGTTCGTTTACGTGAGAACTTTCAGAATTCTGTTTGATTGGATTGTTACGTTAGTATCGTGCGCACTTTATGAATTCTTTTTGATTGGATTGTTACGTTAGTATCTTGTGCACTTTTAGAATTCTGTTTGATTGGATTGTTACGTTAGTATCTTGTGCACTTTTAGAATTCTCTTTGATTGGATTGTTACGTTAGTATCTTGTGCACTTTTAGAATTCTGTTTGATTGGATTGTTACGTTAGTATCTTGTGCACTTTTAGAATTCTCTTTGATTGGATTGTTACGTTAGTATCTTGTGCACTTTTAGAATTCTGTTTGATTGGATTGTTACGTTAGTATCTTGTGCACTTTTAGAATTCTGTTTGATTGGATTGTTACGTTAGTATCTTGTGCACTTTTAGAATTCTGTTTGATTGGATTGTTACGTTAGTATCTTGTGCACTTTTAGAATTCTGTTTGATTGGATTGTTACGTTAGTATCTTGTGCACTTTTAGAATTCTCTTTGATTGGATTGTTATTTTCTTTATTGACATAGCTAAGCCCCACTCACTTAGCCAAATAAAAAAAAATGCATGTAAACGATAGGATTTTGTTTGCATTCAACAAAGTATCATGCAATTTGAAAGTTAACGTTAAGATTGAATAGTGAGATTTTATTTTCTTGTTTCTGTTCCTGGATTCAAATATCTACGTACTGGACAGTAATGAACACGGTCAACGTATCTGACTAAAATTAGTAGATGTTATTTTTTTTAACATTCTTTAGAGTTTCCAAAGTAATTAAGGCTTGCGCAAGCGTAATTTATCTCACCAAGGGGTTCAAAACCCTTCAACCACCTCCCGCTCTCTAGAACAGTTACCTCAATTTAATTCTAGTTCTTAGGGTAAACTATCTCATTCGCCCATAATCTCGTGGGTACTTAGTTTCGCGATTTTGTCGAGAAAATGTAAACTGTTGAAGGTAAATTCCATCGTCCTGGAACTGTTAATGTCCGCGGACAAGCATCTGTGCATATTGTCGCACCAAATATAGGCCATCGTTCATATATTTAGACAGTTGGCTATTTTGTATTGTAAAACAGATTACAAGTTTACTAAGAATTTCAGGGGAGACGAATGGTAAGTGTAATTACAGTTGAACGTATAGTTGTGTAATTTTGTTTGAAAGGTTCCCTTGATTTTCGCAAGAGCATTGCTGCGTGGATTAGTCGAGAGAAACGAGTAAACCCATTTCTTTTATTTACCTAGTAAGAACTCTCTTTTATGGGTTCAGTTTTAAAACATGCGTATTAATGTCATAATTTTATAATGTTTCAATGTTGTTCATTCGAGGTTCTCTCTTCCTAGAGTTCATGAAGGATGACCAACTCACGAAACCAAGGATAAATGTCAACACCCACCACGCCCATCTCTTGAAGGAAGTTTTTAAGTGGTTGTAAAAACTGTCTACCTCGCGGTAACGACATCTTGCTATACGCATGTGTCTTAAGACAGATGTTTGGTTACAAAAATGCATGCGTTTGAAATAAAAGTCACTACCACAAGTTAGACAACTTTTAAAAAGAATTAAAAAAATGGACCCCAGAGGTGGGTGTGGTGGGGGAGGCTGGATGGAGAAAAAAAACTGTATCAAATAATTGTAATATTACTGTATTATATGATTGTTAGAGAAAGATTGTAATATTACCATTGTAATAGATATTAAAAGATTGTATGGTAATTATTTACTGTAGTGCTAGTATATTAAAAGATGTTTGTACCCCTTATGAAAACTGACCAAATATGGCGGGTATGGGGAGAGGTAGTGGACGGGTAGATAAGTGTTATAAACTTTCTAATAGAGGGGGGTGTGGTGGGGGTGTGGCGGGGGATGGTGGACGGATCGACCCCCAATTTTTCATTTTATTCCCTGAATTGGGAGTCGATCCAATTTTGATTTCTTCCCAAGATTTATATTTGTCGCTGGTATAATTCTTAAGGTGATCGTGTTCCTTGGTATCAGCTTTGGGTGGTCGAAGAAACCTGCAAAACAGGGAGATGAAATTAAGACCAAGAATTTGAGCCAAAGAACGTTACCCGCCTTCATACTTTGTCGGACTTTTACCCAAAGGATGACAAACGAACTTTTCCCGCCGAAAAACAAACCTCCACAAGCTTCTGTTCAACTAGGCACTCAAAGACTTGGAAAAATGTCCAATTCAGAAATACAATGAATCCGCACGTGTCCTGACAAATTTTTCCTGTCAAAAGACCATGAAAAACCTCTACGGACGTTACACAAGTTTTCACTCAAATGAACAACAAAGCTACACTCACCAGAATAAAAGGTAATCTCGTCTCTTTTGATCTTCTACACTTATGATCTTTAAGGCAGCTGAAAGTGGAAACGTAAGCGATAATTATATACATAAAAATTGGCAGTCGTAATAATTTACTGGTCAGACCATTTATGAAACATCGTAACAGAAATACACAAGTTTCTGTTCAACTATACCACAAAAAGTACATCCATTAAATCTAAACTTTTAACCATAACTTTCCGGCATCTTACAGATCAGGAAAACGAAACGATAACATTTTTTGACCTCTAATTTCGGTTAAATAATTTGTTTGCACTTGAACAACACAAAGCAATGAAGATGAAATTTCAGGACCACCGCTTACAAACTTAAACTCATCAATTAAATTTAAAATAAAGAAATATCTTGGCAGTTCTAATAGTTTATTTGTCACGTCATTTCTCTTTTTTGCGTAATCTGAAATATTTGAAATACAACTAAAGAATCGACAAATTTAGAGATAAAATTAAAACAATTTTCCGACGAAATCTAAAAGATTGACTTTGGCGCATTTCGTTTTAACTCGAGCGAAAGACCAAGTAACTACCTACCGTTTTCAGGGGGTATGAACTGTAATTTTTTGGTACGACAGATCGTCTCTTACCCTTGAAAAAGGAGATAAAAATTCAGATCTTCCCCAAAGCAACTCATCCACCAAAAGCAAATTTTCAGAGGTGAAAGACAACCGAAATCTTGCGTCAAATCACATCCCCCATCAATCTTTGTTCTACAATCATAAACACATCATGTCACTAAATAAGAACACTGTACGAAACCAGTTTCACTTAACTGTACAAGTGTAAAAAACCCAATTCTAATGCTGTCGAAGCTATCAGAGTAAATGTTTAAGTTTTCTAAGATAGAGTGAAAATACTTTTGGGCGGGTTTTTTATTTTTATCTAGCAATCTGAAGTAAACTACATAACACAAATATATTTAATCACCTGAGGAACACGAGTCCTGAACGCGTTAGTTTGGAATGTTTGCAAATTTCTCCTTCCTTTCCACGCTGATACTTTCTTGTACCCTTCATTTTCTTTTTTCCTTCTCTTACAATCTGAAGGAAACTTTAAAACACATAGAAAGAAAATGAATGTATTTTTTCCATCATGTGAAACTGGCAATAAATCAATAAAATATCGGGCACTGCCAAACCTGTTTAAGTGTTCTGTTTAAGATTAATTAACAACACAGTAAATATTTAAAAAAAAACACACAAAAAAAAACTAGAAGAGCTAAAGAAATAACAACGATTTCTGTTCTCGACGTTCAACAATATTACATCAATTATACTTACCATTCTCTTCTCCCTTGACTGTCATTTTAAACTTGAGATTTTTGCGTTACCGTCTGAAAAAAAGAACAATAATAATAACAATGATTTTACACCAGCGGCAACCAAAATAAAACAAATTAACTTCTACTATAACTGTACATCGTTTGCCTGCACCATAAAATAGAAATCTATGTAAACCAAGATGGCGATGGCAACCATAACGCGATGAAACAAAAGGATTGAATCAGCACGCTAATAGGTCAGCAGGAACCCCGACGGCAAATTGTGAACGCATCTTCTTAGAAGTAGACGACACCTTCAAATAAAAGCTGAATGGGAAGACGGTAGTTTCAAGCCGTATGTCTCACTAACTTTTAAAAAATTGCAGTTTTTGGCTTGAAATAAAAGAAAACAAATTTAACAGCAGTAATAGCTGCAAAAAAAAAGTTACCGGTCTCCGTCACCAAAGAGAAGTAAAATTATAACTGATCAAAAATAATATTCTCTTCATTGTTTAACGGTTGACATAGGACGCAAACGCGCCTCGCTGCTAGGTAAGCAGGACTTAGGTTTAGAAATTAACTATTCCGTTCAAAAAAATTCGTGGCATTTGATTTCCCTTTTTATCATAATTTTTTTTCGGAAGGAAGAAGAATCCATATCACTTTGTTAGAAGCTAAACTAAAGTAAATTCGGAAAATTCCACTCCACGATTTATAAGCAAAAGCCAGATCCACAACCAGAAAAAGCCGGTCATTTAATTATAGTAATTATGTCATTTCGCGAACGTGCCATTCTGAACATGGTTGATTTACAACCGAAAAAGCCCCAAAAGTTACAGTTCTATATCAGAGCCCGATAAGGGTAGTGATCTTTTCAAAACTTATTGTATTGTTAAGTTTTCCGATCAGTTTTACTTGTTTCATATCTAAAGACTTCAGGAGTAATGGGCTCCTGTAGACTTTAAATAGCTTTTTTATGCTAAATAGATCTGTACACTCTAAGTATAGACAGATGTTTTAGTAGTAGAGGACTTTATTTGCGCATGCGCAGACGAAATGCCCCTCTACTCCCAAATCTTATATAAATTATATGGTTAGAGTTTTAGTAGCCAATCCGCAGCCAGAGGAAGGTATTTGTCATAGCTGACCGAGGTAGCTGATTGGCTACTACCCCAGATCTCAATCTCGATCTCGATATTTTTTTGTTTGTCTGAATCCTGCCGAGGGGACCTTAAATACACAGTTTTCATGAATATTTATAGGACAGTTCCTTGATTTGAATATATATGACTTTCATAAATTCTTAACCGTCAGTTCCGTGATTGTTTGCCGGAGAGTCAAAATAGTTGCGACCAGTAATTTCGAAGGGGTAAACGAAGAAGTTTGCAAAATTGAGAGAGAAATACGCTCAGACTCAAAAGGACTCTGGTTGCAAAATGTCAGATTCTACTAGAAGTTGGGTAAATGGTGTCACTCTCACCGAGAGCGTAAAAGAAAAAATAAGAGCCAAGCACATGCAACCAGGAGTACAAGGAAAAAGCCTTTTCCTTCCGTTCGACGAAAGCGTCACCTGGAATCTGGTTAAAGATACATTTATGCATCCTGATGTCGTAAAACCTCACAACTCGGATGATAAGAAGGAGGTTCTACAAAAACAATTTCCTTCACAAGTTGGCAATCTTGGATGTAATGGAGCTGGGTGTTTTTGTGTGACCGTTATCTTCCACAAGGTGGATCAAAGAATAATTACTGCCTATCCAACGTGATAAATTGACAAATATCTTTTATATATATTGGAAAAAAAATTGGTTTTCTGAAGTTCGCAAATAATTGTAATGACGATATTATTATGCTTCCTATTTAAGTTTTTAGTCACATTGTGATACCTTCGTTCACGTGTAGTGTGTCACGTGACTTGTGATGTCAACAAACCCCTAAACGCACAGGTGTTCAAACTTCGGCTTTGGAGCAATAGCAATATTGATCAGGGCGAAAACGTTTCAATGACGTCAAAAAAATACTAAGAAAGCTACGTGCGTCATTGTTCCTATCATAAAACAGCTCTCAAAAAAGTTTCCTTCTGACCCATCAGCAAACGCTTGCGAATCAAGAAAAACAAAAAGGAGAATAATTTTATGTTATCAAGGTAAAAAAGCGTCCATTTTATTTTCACTTGTCTACTATCTTTCGTAAAAATCCGGTATAACTGTGCTCCCACCGCATACCTGTACATCGTCGTGTTGTGTTTATTCGCGATATTTTCAGCTGTTTCGGGCCAAGATTCATGTAGTGTTGGACCTTGTTATCCTTCTCCTTCAAAGCATTTTAATGTTACGGCGAATTCGACTTGCAGTAATCCGTCAGAGCCATACAGCGTTAACTTGGATTGCACTAACTAATGTCTCTTGAAATATCACTGGTTCTGCTTTGATCAGAACGAAAAGAAAACAAATGGTCGAGAAAAAGTCAAATTTCACGACATGTTTGTTTCTTCATCAGAGTGCAGATTGAGGGTATTGTAGCTTGGCAACATTGACTATCAAATTTTAGCAAGAGAATCACTATTTCTCTTAGTAGGGCGAGGAAGTATTGTGAGTCGCAAGGCTTAAATTCACTGCATCTAGGAGTGGAAATGAAATAATGGCACTGATTCCCAAACTACTGCTCCAAGCTTATTTCATATCACAGTCTGTTAGTCAATTGACCAAGCAGAAAGTCCGTCATTTTCCTCAGAAAACCCATTTAAACAATTAAGAACAACTGATTTGCTGATTGTTTCAATAAACCTTGGAATTTCCAAATGAATGTGTCTATTCATTCAAAAACCATCACGTGTTTCTTGAGAGGGACAAGCTTCATCATCAAGCCCATCATCAGGTCTCTCAAGTTTGGGGTTTCAGCATTTAAAAGTCATAATTAGCTTAAAGTTGAGTAAATAAGCTTATTGTTCCCTTCCTACCAGAGAACCCTTTTATCTATATTTTCTTTGATTGATCCTTGTAATACATCCTCAATGTGTAAAATAAACCATGATTCTATTAATCCTCAGTTCATATATATGATATTCATTTACTCACAATCATTCAAAAAGAAACATTGTGATAGAAACAATAGTCTGGTGGTCTGGTGCCCAGAACTCTGAGTCAATTGTTCTGTGATGATATTATCCTAGAAAATACATTTTACTCACACATTGCACCCAGGATGAATAAAAAGAGTACTGGGCAAATGTCAAGGAAAGCTCTGACAGAGTGTTGAGGCAACCTGTGCTCTGGCAGAATGGGCAATCTGACTTCTAAGCTGACTCAGCTCTTTGTTACCTACTTGTGATGTTGCACCACCTTATAAGCATACTTCTTCTGCATGAAAGGTTGTTCATACAGCTGAGTTGAGTTGCACCTCTGATATTGTTAAGTAAACATTCTTTTCAGACAACTTTAAACCCTTGCAAGTGGTTATTAAAAATATATTTCTACCCAAATATCGAAGAACAGGTTGTACAATTCCCATCAAAACTCAGTGTACCTTCATTTATCAGAAGTTCTACTCCAATTCTAATAGGCAATTTTTGGAATGATGTGCTCATCGAAAAAAAAAAAACGATTGCCATTTTAACTTAATTTATTTATCCAGTAATCAATTATGTACCTTGCTAGCCCAATAACCATTGTTACTCAGTCAAGTCTAACCTGATAATATTTCATAACTGAGAATGCCAGCTGCTAGCTGCCCATCATTAAATGGAAGTCCTCTTCCTATGTAGGCATAACTTATAAGAACCTGAAAATAGAAGATAAGAAACAATTGGAAAGAAAGGATTTCAAACTAAGCTATACCATTCTTCGTTCAGTTAATTAAAGTCAGAAAGTCTCTGATCCAGAGAATACTACATGGTGAAGTGGATAAAAGTTTAATCTTTGAGTATAGATAGTAGTCTCTAACAAAGGAGCCTGGAAAACAAGTGAGATATATCACCAACCCATGAACACAACCCTGTATCCAAATGCTGACATGAGTTGTTCTCTTCCTTGTATAGATATATTTCAGTTAATATCTAAATGTGACAATTTTGAAAAACAAATGTTTCAATCAAAGATTAAATCCACATCAACTCAGCTCAGGGTAATTCTACAAGTTCTCCAACCAGTGTACCTGCAAATGTCAATTCAAGTAGCTTTCACAACTTGGTTCAGGCAATCTGTCACTGGTTAATAGTTTTTACATTTCAATCAAGAACTCTCATTAGAAACTCACCCCAGACAATGAGCCAGAATCACAAAGGAACTATGTAATATGCAATATGTGCATAGATACATGCATCTCCATGAGCCAGATGAGAAAGTTTCAAATGTGTCCAGAGAAAGCTGAATTTGAAAATGATCTCCATTCCTGTTCTAAAAAAAAGATGGATAACAGTAAATAAATATGAATAGAAATGATAAATTGGCAAAAAAAAAAAGACTTAGGGTGAAACCTCATAATATTAACTCTTCAAGGAATGATGAATGACATAACAAATGTTTTTGAAGGATGAAAACCAACTCTCTCACACTCTTCAAAGATGTCTGTAGGTCAGAATTCAATCAATTGTGTGTGTGTGTGAAAATGGAAAATTCTCTAGGGTAATTGGACTGTGTCACACTCTGTTATTCAACCCAAACATTTAAGATATCCACTCCCAAGAAATATGTGATACTCTAAATTTTACTCACCAACCCCACAGTGATGAAGCTGGTTACCATGACAACATTGTTACCTTCACAAATGTCATGTGCAATGAAGAGGTAAATTCACCCTGCACAAAAGTGGATTCATGTTTTTAAAAGAGGGAAATTCTTGTATTTCATCAATTGTCACCATCCATTCAGGATAAAGAAGGTATGGTACAATAATTGAGCCATGACATCTTGTCACTTAAATAGTTATATAGACCCCAGCTTAAAATTTATACCACAGTAAATAAAAAAAATGCAAGAAAAATTGATACACAGATCCACTTAACCCTTTGACTCCCAGATCAAATTTGTTCAGTAATAGATCATAATGTTAGTCAAATTTATATTGGATCAAGAACAAATTGATATTTTTATTTATTCTCATCACTTATCTGGTTGATATTTTATTGATATTGTAAGGAGAAATCCTGTGCTGGCACACATGGGAGTTAGAGGGTTAACCAATGCTGAGAAATGAAATCTAAAATTTTGAAAAAAAACAAAAAACAAAAACAGCCCCATATGTTATGCCGCTAGTGAGAAAAACATAAGTAGATAAAACCAATGTCAGACTGTCAATAACAAGACTTCCACTGAAATAAAATTTGCATTATGTACTGAATACATTTTGATGAATTGTTCCTTGCTGCTGGTAGAAAACATTTTTGGTGAAATAAATTTTAAATCATGATTGCCATTTGGAGAAGGATCTATTCAAACCAGGTTGAGTGTAGTTGGTTCTGATAAAATATATTTTTGTCAATTGCAGAAGTTAATCTTTAACTAGGTCCATTAAATGGAATGTTTTTCATTTGATGATATTAAGACTAGTTTTTCAAAATTAAATTCACTAATAAAGCCAGTCTTAAAAATGACTTGAATGTGTGTAAAACTACCAATTATGGACTGAGGGTAAACTTTGGTTTACATGTTTCACTATAATAAATATAGTAGCATTTATCATCCAACTGCACAAAGTAGAGTACAAATAACATGGAAATAGAGTACAAATATCATGAGATGTTGTATGGTTATTAGGACAGTTGGTTATTTTGTACTTTAAAAACCCCTTTGACAGGTTGGCTACACTTGCCTTCTCTAGTGCGGTATTTAACAACTGTACCATTGTTCGTGGTTCATAGCCTTCAGCTCCTCATTACTGATGTGAAACTGGGAAGAATAAATGACATCTTCTGTTGTCTAATTTGCGCATATTATTGTTATCTAAAACTTAAATATCTCAAAAACTGACCAAGATATTTTGAAATGGGAAACGTTGAATTCAAGCTTTTATGGACGTCTCTATGAGCACCGTAACATTTCAAAGAATGAAAATTTTATCATAATCAGCCCATTAAGAACTCTGACTTCTGCTAAACAAGGCTATATAGATATCACCTCTTACCTAAACAAGGCTTTAGATAAGAATGTCTAGAATATCTTAACCAGATGTCGGTCTTATCAACTCGGTCAAATAACTCTAAAAGTAGGCAGTAACTAGCGAGAGCAACATGGCGCCTTAGGAGAAACTGAAGCTTACCTCGACACTGAGTGCGCAGCATGTGGGCTGTGCGTATGAGCTATAATAGCCATTCCTCCATTTCTATATTTCGCAGGCAGCTATCGAAGATATTTTCCTGCGGTTCTGCTGTATTCTTCCAGTCTTTCGTCGCCATGCTGAATTCATTAAGTTGTTTTCAGTCTCTCTCTTTCATCACCAAAGGGGGACGAGATGGACAAGGCGAAGACTGTGGATAATATTCATTTTCATGTGACGTCACCAGCAACTCAAATCTACTTGCGAGTCTATTTTCGCCAGCCGTGAGCGGTGTTTAATTGCTACCTAAAACGTTGCGACAAGGTTGGTTTGTCAACACAAATTTTCAGTAACCTAGAAAACCGAGTACCGTCATGATTCGATTTATCGCCTGGGGCGCTTAATTTTTTATGGTATCTCCTGGAGCCTATTACTTGGGCTCCTGGTACCTCTAGAAGGGTGCTTATTCGAAACAGGGCGCTTATTAGGGACAGGGCGCTTATTTTTGAGAAACAGCAGAATGTGCAAAAAAAAAGCTCTGATGTCTATTTAAAAAGGAACAATAACAAATGTACAGTTTATATTCAAATATCAATGATAGGACTGTACTCTTTCGTTGCTATTACTAAAACAGAATAGGGGCGCTTATCGCATGGGGAGTGCTTACGTAACAGGGGCACTTATTGAAACGAGGGCGCCAAATTGAGTCGTTACGGTAACTTCTGCATTGCACATGAGACACTTTTTTCACAGGGCTCCACAAATTTTCATTACGTGAGGAGAATTTCGAAAAGGATTAGATAATAAGAGAAAACAGAAAAACGTTATCTCGGAAAAAATATTCTCCGTTCTTCATCTCCTGAATTATTGCAATTATAATGACGGCCTGATCTCAGCTTCCATAACTTATTGTGAACAAGCTTCATCTTTTTATCCTTCTTGCTGCTACTTGAATTCCAGCCAGCTATTGGAAAAAAAGAATTTTGAAATCTAAAAGTTCTACAAGGAAATTGGTAAAATTTTTCCTTGATCCAAAATGAAAATACGGTGTTATCTCGCAGAGCTGGTTACCAACTTTGCGGCTTGATTTGAAACACTGCATGTCCAATTAAGTAGAATCGCAATCATGACGTTGTTCTTTCATCATTCCTGTCTTTATTTTTTTTTAACACAAAACGAGATTATACGAGAGTAAGTTGTATTTGAGTTTTCAGTATTACCCTACTTACGCATATGGCAATCTTACAACGTGAAAACCTTCAGAAACTTGGAATGTCCATTTTCGAGTAAAGACAAAGAGATGATTAAAATTCTCGTAAAGCTCCCAAATGTTAGTCCTCAAAAGAGGAAAGACTGCCAGAACACTCAGGAGTACAGGTTGAATAACTGCTCAAAAGCAATGTTCACTCCTCATGTACCTTTTCTCTAGAGAGATGTTTCAATGGCTTCTCATCAAGATGATGTACGTTTAAACAAAAATATATTCCAAATCGGATACTTCTTGATTGGAAGGAAGGTGAAGGGCACCACTTGGTCGAATAATTAAGAAATACAACGAGGTATCTCTAAGGAGCCCTCGATTTTTTTTTACTGAGTGAAATAAAAAATACTATTCTCGCCCGAAAAAGCGCATGTTTTCGTTACCGATGGATCCAGTAGCTAATTTTGACATTAGATAATTGAATTAAATCAATCAGATCGAAAACAATCGAAATGACTCACAACAGTGTTAGGTTTGCTCCTAAACTCGAATATTTTCGTGTTCAACGATGCTTAGTATTTACTCTTAACAAAATGTTTTGAAATGGAAATTCAAATGTTAAAGGTAAAAGTCGATTGGAGGAACTTAAGTATGTCGCGAGGTGTTTACGATCTCACTTTGCGTGTCAAAGGTGAAGATCGATTTTTGGAAGTACTGAAGTAAATCCCGAGGTATTTTTGGTCTCACTCTTCATAGGCCAGTCACCACAAAATGAACCCTACTGATTCATCATTTAGGAAGACATACATCACCAGAAATAGTTGTTTAAGCATACAAAAGTGACTTCGAGAGAACACGATAAAATCTTAAGCCATTTCGGTATACCGTCAGTCTTCGCGCTTCCGGACGACTTACGAACTTACGAACTTCCATGCAAGGATGATAACGTAGCGTGTTATAGGCTAGAGGCTAGAACCCATAAGGCGCAAAATTGTACCATTTTAGTATAATTGTTCAGGTGATTATAGAAATGCGCGCTCTCTGATGGGTCGAGAATTGCGTCATATCTCGCTATAATCACCTCGTGCGAGGTGAGTATAGCAGGGGCGCTAAATTTTAAAATGGCTGCCTCACGTTTTGTCAACCTTTCCGACGAAGTGATAAACGCGACAGGAGAAAATTTATTTGCGTAGGGCTCAAAAGATGCCACTGAGTTTGGTGAAACACCTCTCAAAAGAAAGATATGAAGTTTTTGCTGATCATATTAAATAAACCTGCTAAAACTCCTTGCTTATCTTGATTCAAGTAATCACTACAATTGTAACAAAATATGTGCAATGCTCTCTTTAGTTGCAGAATTTGCAACAGAATTCTAAAGGACCTGAGCAGTTATACTAAAAAAATATTTACCTCAGGCTCATTGTAGAATAGTCCCCTCGACTTCGACTTCGTCTCAGGTATTATTCAACAATCAAGCCTGAGGCGGATAATTGTTAAATAGAGGAAGGGCCACTGCGGCCTCTTGTTTGTTCATACGCCAAGGTTACAGAGTAGATGTTAATTTTATTTTAATGCAGTAAATTTCAACAGTTTTACACTTATTACCAATTTCTTCTGTGTGTGTGTGATTATATCACTTGTTCTAAACCAATAGACATGCTGAAATTTCTGCACGAAAACTGTTTTCCGCTGAATATGGTGAGTTATGGCAAAATAATGACAGCTAATGACCTTGTTCAACTCAAAACCTAGTCAGCGACCCCCATACTTTTATCTCATAATTTCACAAGTTTTAGTTCAAAATCTGAAGTTTTTAGTTTTAGAGGCAAATACAACACAGTAAATACCAACAGTATCAATATTGTTATAACCATACACGACAACAGAAATACAGAAGAGGACAACATTGCAAAAACACATTGAGCGTTCTCAGGACCAGGAGGAAGAGAGACTGGGAACGAGTTTAAGCAATAGTCACCGGGCGAACAACTTTATTAGGCTCCCAGACCCGGTTTCCCGCCACTAATAGCCCACTATTAGTGGCTGGAAATGAGCCCACCCGTTCCTTATCGGGGGTATAGAAGACCGCATTCGCGACAAAAGCGTTGGAAATCGAACTTGCTAGTCTCCTTCTCAGACGTTATTTGGATAGTCACGCAACGCTCCTCTGAGAAAACGTTTTCTCGGGGACGTCGCGTAAAATCTTATCTAGTTTGTGTTGAAATACATCAAAATACATTTATGTGACACACAATCGCCGGCTACACAGGCTACGAGATTTTCATCGAGTTTTTAAACTGAATGAAATTAAAATTAAAAACCACAGTACAGAATATTGTCGAAAATTTAAGTAATTTTGGCCCGCCGGTTACTTTGCCTGTTGGGTAACAATTTGACTCCCTCCATCATAATTTACCTCCACATCGGCGGGTTATTTTATTTAAATTAAACATCGCGCTAAATCTCAATCGTCGATCTCTAAACAAAATATTTGAAACGGCCCAGTGTGAATCCCCAGAGTTTCCATTTACTAGTTGTCACAAAACCCCGAATATATCCACCTAAATTAACTATTGTTTGCTCTTTCGCGTGACGACACGTAATCGACTGTGTAATCGTAAACAAAGCGGAAGTTCAAAAAGTATTTAATCCGCTGTAATGAGATTTCGCAGGCTCCATCAGCTGGAAAGCCTGCAAGATTTTGCCACGTCTAGGTCAACGTGTTTCGTCTAGTTTAAAAGTTACTGCAGGGATTGTTTGGACTATTTCCCATTCATAGTTCACAACTACCAGTAGCACAATCTACCTGTACAATTTTCTTGAGTTAAACATGGAAGGAATCCTTTATTTTTTGGTGTGTGCACTCCTTGTAAACAGCTGTATTTGTGCAGCCACTACCGGCAGAGATAATCGGCCGAAACCACATGAAGATATCTCCTTATCAGAAAAAGAGCATGAAGAAGATGGTGAGCATAACTCAGAGTACGACCACGAGGCCTTCCTAGGAGGCATGAAAGATGAATATGACGATCTGCCCCCAGAAGAAGCCATAAAACGGCTAAGAGTTTTGGTCAAGAAAGTGGATTCTGATAAGGACGGGTTTGTCACAGAAGAAGAGCTGACAAAGTGGGTGAGAGATGTGTTCAACAAACGTCTGCTGGAGGGAGTGCAGGAAGATTTGAGTTCAAAAGACATGGACTCGGATGGCAAAGTAACTTGGGATGAGTACGTAAAGGCGACTTACGGCCCGGAGGAAATGGGAGATGATGCCGATGAAGAATCAAAGAAGTTGTTGAAAACGGACAAAAGACGATTCGATACAGCTGATAAAGACAAGGACGGAGCCCTCGTCAAGGAAGAGTTTGTTCACTTTATGCATCCAGAGTCATCTCCAGAGATGGCCGATATTCACGTTCTGGAAACTATCGAAGGTTTGTAGTTAGTTACTAAAAATTTTACCAAAATATTTTCATTGCATTTCAAGGTCTTAGAAGATTTGACTCGTGTGCCCTCAGAGAAAATACACGTTCATATCAAAACACATCAGGCCCCGCATTGCGATGATAATTGATTCCGGAATATTGATCATTCTAATTACAATGATGAGCCGAAACAGTTTTTCTTCATTTTCAAAGTGTAACACAACCATAATATTTCTCTGTTAAGCTGTGAAACAGTCATCCATGAACATTGTTTCTGTTTTCTATCGTTGCCAAGAATTTGAAAGGAAAATTTATTAACTTTTTAGACTTAGTCTTTCTTATGTAAATCAGAGATATTGGGTTTACAAATCATTTTCCTTTTCAATAAAATATCCACACTTTTTCTACATAAAAATTGAGAGCAATTATTATTGGAATTCACACGTAAAAAATTAATGAGTTATGTTTCCATGGAGTACTGAGGATTAAAAAGATATGCCCTTAAAACGTATACTCATAACATTCAAATAGTATCAAGGTTAGTCACAATGGTTCTCAAAAAATACAGCTTTTGTATAGCTCACCTATAATCATCAAAACCTGTCTAACATTATAAATATCTCGGCATGCAAAAAGGCAATAATAACCTCTAAACAAGTTATCTTTTTCTTCCCATTAATCTGTAGCATCTTTGGGCACCCTGGATTTTCCACACTTTTATTGGTAGATGTTTTGGTTCTCTAATGTTTCTTAATGATGACCCATTTATTCAGCTGTGTTTCCTCTGCTCTGATCTGCATTTTTCATAACAACCAGTCGTTACAGGTGCTACTTAAACATTTTTTGTCATCCCCTTCAATTTAAAGAATTGTGTCAAAATGTCTTGAAAGAAAATATTTCCAATATAAACATTAAGCCCTGTAAGAAAAAGAAGAGGGAATTTTCAAACACTTTTTGAGGTCATCTCTTTACCTGATATTCTTCACAGTCATTTGTACTCTCTCATTTATGGTCTCTACCTACTGGCTTCAAATGAGACATTTCTGCCATGTTTTTCTATTTGGCTTCAAATCAGTGACAGTGTGAAACCTGTTCGGCCAAAGTTTTAATTTGCATGACAGAGAGCATCCAGTCGAAATTTGTTTTAATTCATATGAACATGAACATCTTTGAAATGTAGGCATTATAAGCAACTGAAAAAATGCCTGTTAAAACAATGACTGACAGAATATTCATAACATTCATTATCAATTTGAGTATCTTTTGGTCCTGCTCAATTAAATTCTTCAACCTGCCTGGCACTTGTTAAGAAGTCTATACTTGAGAAACAGAATGAATATTTCTGACATCTATCTCACTCTTTAGGAAATGTGTCTTCCTTTTTAAACCTTTTTTATTGATGAATTTTGTGGGACTTTTTAAGTTCAGAGGTTGGTCTAAGATCTAAAGTGTATTTTTGTTTTGATTCTCAATTTTGCATTCAAATTGATTTATGACTAAGGGAAGAAAAACTGTTCTTTTTTTAGATACTGATAATGACAAGGATGGCTTTATCAGCAAGAAGGAATTTTTGGGAGATTTCCAGGATCCTAATGACGAGGAAGCAGAGGAACCTGAATGGGTGAAGGAAGAAACCCAACGGTTCAATGAGGAATATGACAAAAATCATGATGGCAAACTTGATAAAGAAGAGGTAAACTTATAATCCTGACTTCATGAAAGGCAGTTGTCACTTGCAAATCTAGTGAAGAGCCTGACTCACCAAAAAATGAGTTGTGGCTCACTTAGTAGAGCATCCAGTTATAAAATTGAACCTGGCTTCTGAATCTTAAGGGACAAATCAGATTTTTGTGTTTGTTTTTTTGGACAGATACAAAGGTTGTAACAGCATTTAATTCAGTTAGTCTGTGTCTCTTTCATGGCAGTTTCCAAACAAACAGTTCAACTGACTGAGTGTATATGATGTCCCCCAAAAGAAACAAAGCCAGTTATACCATGAAGCAAATTCATCAGTTCACAGATATCTGACTATTTTGATTTCTGACTCATGTATTTCCCCAAGAACTTTCACTGCATGGTAAACTATATATTGGACCAAAATGACTTTGAATTTAAGGATTGCAAATTAATTGTGATACAAACATTGCTGACTATGAGTCTGATGATAAAAAATTGCAAAAAAAAAAGGTCAAAAACCATCTAGGTTTGAGGCTGTTGGTAAAATTGTGCACTATGACCATTTGAAAGTTGACAAAAATTACAGACAAGTGTTGAAGTTTAAGTCCTTCTGTTCAGTCAGTGAAAAGTTAAAAACATTTTTTTCATCTTTTGGGGCTTTGAGAGGGAAAGAAAAACGTTGTAATAATCTCTACATCTCATTATTGTTGTAGGTGAGGCAATGGATTCTTCCTGAGACGGATCACATGATGGCACTGGAGGAGGCAAAGCATCTGATTCAAAGTGCTGATGAAAACAAGGATGGAAAACTTAGTGAAGAGGAAATTGCACAACACCATGAAGTTTTTGTTGGCAGCGAGGCCACAGACTATGGTCGTGCCCTACCAAAACATGAAGAACTTTAATTGTTCTGGTTCAGTCTTGGTACTAGATTAAATCTTTAAGCATTTTTGTCAAAATTGGCTTTATAATTAACAGTTGAGTCTTAATGAAGAAGCCCTTTATACAAAGACATGTTAGAAAATGTATTAGTTCAAATAACATTTCTACTTTGCTTGAACCTGTCATTAGTTTTCAATCATCGTGTTTACGGTACATTGCTACACGGCAGGATTTTGCAGATGTTCGTTCGTTTTGCTTTTTATCCATTATTTATTCCTTTTGGTTGTAGTTGTGTAGAAGACTTGTATTTTCATTCAGCAGTTTTTACTCTTTGTGTGAAACAATTAACTGCATTTGACAATTTCTAATTTGTTACAATATGTTTTCAAAACATGAAACGAGAATCTTATTTTGGCAAAAGTGATTTCATAACTATAATATTACAGAGGAGATGATCATTAAAAACACTTTTCAAAGACTTTATTAAAAATTGTTTTCTGTATTTTTTAATCCCACAACCCCCATTTCCTTGGGTCATGAAAGCGATGGAACTCATTTACACCAGATTGCAAGCTCTAGACCTTTCTACAATAACAGGGAACCATTAAAAAAAGACACCACTTAAGGAGGCTCAAAAGGGTTTTTCGTTGTTGCAGTGTTTGTGAAACGATGGAAGATTACAAAGAAGGATATTTAATGGGGTGGGCAAACTATATGTCTCCTTGCAACTCTATTGCTGGGCTATACTTTGAGGGCACTTATGACGTCATATCAGTTACCATGGCAACGCAGAAGGTCCACAAAAACGTCCACTAAATTTTAGTTTTTGTTGATTATCTGAAAAACTAATTCGGTGACCTACCATTTTTATTTCTTTGTTGGAAAGTCCCCTAAATTTTTAAACTTTTCAGACAGTATGGAAAAAATTTATCTAGTAGAATTAAATATATTTAAAGAAAATGTGATTTATGGCTTACAGAAAATTCTACTGGATAATTTTCCCGAAACTTTTATATTTGAAGTGCCATCGTGAATGGTGCGTGCATGCAAAAAATCAAGATAAGTCACCGAACAAAATTTCGAGCTAGAAACAAATGTATTTCGCAGATTTTATTTCCGGTTCGCGCAATTTCAAGCAACATTTAACTTCCGGTGTGCTGATTTTCCTTGACTTCCCCATGTGATTGATCTGGAAAACTCACACTACTTTCTCACCCAATCAGATTCAAAATTTGGGGGAGTTCCCAGTCAATTGTTGGTCAACACCCACCAACAGATGATGGTTTTCTGGGTCGTGAGTTTTTAAACTGGGTTATAACTGTTACTGTTTAACAAGTTGAACAGAAGCCTTGAACAAGGTGTGACCAAGTCTGCATATGTGGTGCTGAACGTATATGGCAAAAAATCGGTTTTTCAAAATGCCCAAGAACGGGCTGTTGTCATTACTATTGACTTACTTTCTTCAGTTGTAAATTGCTGACTCTTTATGTCAGTTCTCTCATAGACCACAGTTGCACGAAACCTTCCTTTTGAAATGAGAAGGCTTTTTTTCCTGAGTGTCTTGACGATCCTTGAGTTAATCCGTTTGAATGATGTCAAAACCAAAATTCTCATTTCTTGACAACCTTTTTCAATATTCTTATTTTCGACAAGAAAGGAATCTCTTTGCCTCTTTGCGGGTACGTTAAATCAAAAACCCCGAGTCCTTGCGAATCACTAAGACTAATTTAATATTTAACAAATTTACTATTAAACATGGATAGTTCCGTACGTCATGAGTCTAATGACGAAAAGCACCACATACTTCGGGAGTAACAAATAAAAGCGACTTGCAAACAGCACCATATACTTCGGGAATAACAAAGAAAAGCGACTTGAATGAAATATTTCAAAATTTCTGCGCCCAAGATAAAAGATTTAACTTGTCCACGCACACAAAAATGATCATTAGCGATGCATCGTGGGGTTGGAAAAAACACAAAATGGCTGAAAAAATCATGGTACATGACGGTAAGTTTCTTCAACTAAAACATTTGAATCCAAACGCAAAAGGGAATGAAAATTCGGGTCGAAACACCTGTTTCCAAAGCTCCGTCAAAATTATTTGTAAAACTGCGTTTCCTTTAGAGAGTAATCTTGTAAATTCTGTTGTCGTGCTTAAAAAAGAGGAATTCAACTCACTCGATGAAAACCGAAGTAATATCTCCTGGAAACAAAGATTTACAATAGAACCGACGTTTAGAATTAGCTCCTATGTACCGCAAATCACATTATAGATTACAATAAAAGCTTAACAAGTAATCAATGGGTCAACAATAGACTAACCTACCAATAACAATAATTGGTTGTTATCCACGCAAAGGGTATGTTGTCTTGAATATCGGTGCTTACATTCAAAAGTATTCATACAAGAAATCTCAAGTTTGGTATAAGCATATATAAGGAAAATGAAAACCGAAAAAACCTATTTATTCTGCGAGCATATTGTTTTAATACAGCTGTAGTGACGTGAAGTGGAAGTTCTTTAAGGAGAATTTCGACTTCCACGATCACGAATTAGGTGAAAATAATGTGCATTAAACATAGATAAAAATACGGCCAAAAGATCAGAGAATCACCATCAAATAATTACCTCAGTTGACAGAGAAGTCGATTGTTTATGGATTTGGTGAAAGAGCAAGACTAAAAACAAAACAAAAAGTAACGTCGCCAGGAACACCTTGATATTTTAATGATTCGACGAACATATCTGAAAAACAAAAGGTTCGCATTTACATCTATGTTTTAAAATTAAACAATTTTTACGCTGAGTCACAGATTTAAGAAACTCTCTTAAGCTTCAGTTTTCCCGTTGACGAATTCATTTCAATAAAAATTGAACACGTCAGGGGTTTTTAAAAAGCATTCGTCATCAATAATATTCCTCAGCTGTGAATCTAACTGTCCATTCATGAACGATAACAAAGTAATGATTAAAATGCACAAGACAGCGATTACACAGCTGTCTACAATCGAACTCATGGCAAAAACTGATTGGTTTTTTGTTACAACCCAATGGGAATTCTTGTTTCAAATTTAAATGCTATCGCTGACGATGCTCAGACATTGTATCCACATTTCTTAATAGAGTCTTTCAAAATACCTTAAACGGCTTTAAGATTTTCACTGAACTACAGAACTAAGAAATTCACCTGTTGTTATTTTTGAAGGGACAATGCAACCTGTTACCTTCGGATCTTTTTATCTCATAGCATTTTCAGTAATTCTTAGTTTAAAATCTCCTTTTTCCGCCGCAGTAGAGCCGCACAAAGATAACTTTCACAAGCACGAGCATTTCGGTGCAAACCAGGAACACGATGTTCGCTACGATCACGAAGCCTTCCTCGGACCCGAGGCGGAGGAATTTGATCATTTAACTCCAGAAGAATCCAAGAAAAGGTTACGAGTTATTGTTGTAAAAATGATTGACACTAACAAGGATGGTCTGGTTTCGGAAGATGAACTTCGGGTGTGGATAGAGAAACAGAGAAAGGCATTTATGTACGAAGACGTCGACAAAAGAATCGCTAAAGAGGACAAAGATGGAGACGGTGAGATTTCTTGGGAAGAATACAGAAAGTCGGAATACGGAGAATGGGATAATTATGATCTTCCGAAGGACCACGTAAGTATTTTATTACAGTTGTCACATTGTAAGAAAACTAATATTTTCAATTCCATTTTTTTTTCATTTGTAACATGTTACATCGTCGACATCACAACAGGTTAAAACAAATATTATACATATCGATTTCTATCACTGCTTCTCCGGCAAATAAATCACCAAATGTATCTCTTCTGGTAAATTTAATTCCCCCAATAGTTTTGCATGTACATCCAGTATTCCACCTTGATAAGAAAGACAAAGAAACCAATTTAAAATTCTGTCCGCAAAATTTTTCAGAGAGCACAGAGTGCAAAAAAAAAAAAAAAAATGGAAAAGCAGCTAACCATTTGTTGCGGTTATATTCAAGGGAAAGTTTTTTTGAGCAAATGATGCAAGAAATACTCTTTGACCTGTGTGTGAAAGAAATGAACTGATCATGATATGAAAGTGGTCAACTGCAGTTACCAAAACAACTTTACAAAGTAAAGTTCGAAAAAGGAAGAATTTGACTTTCGACGGTGATTAAACCCGAGCCTGTTGAATTTCATTCCTAATCATGGCTTATTTAACTCTTTACTCACATTGCTTTTACTTTTACTTCAATCAACAGAATTTACGCCGTCAAATACGAAAAAAAGAGTACAAATTCAACATCGCAGACGCAGACAAAAATGGCAAAATGAACAGAGACGAGTACGTGGATTTTGAGCATCCGGAAGAGAACATAAACATGCAAGAAATTGCGTTGGATGAAGTCATCGAGGATGTGGATCAAAATGATGACGGGTACGGCAAAAACACGAAGAATCTTTTCAACAAAGTTAGCTCTTTTTATGATTTACAATTTCAGAATGTAAGCAGAGAATGCGGGAGTCTATTTCCTCCCACACATCGCATACAAAAAATACACAGTCATACAATCATAATCATTACTCAATCCACTTAATTTGCCCCGTTTTAAAGTGACCGATCCGCCACAAATTCGGACGCGCAGGACATATTGACACGATGTACGCGCGAGACTTCCCTTGCTCGCACGCAACAGAATACACGCATGAATATTATGGGGACCATTTTTTTTTTCATTATTATTAATTTAAACCTTTCCTCTTACATATCACTCCAACCGGCTTGCAAGAGCTTTCACCAGAGCCACTCTCAGCCTGCACTGCTCTATGTTCCCCAGTCTTATTTCGTTGGCCCGAATTATACTCGACAGTTTACGCCCTTGCATATTCCCACAAGATGGCCCGATTCTCAAAAGCTTCCATGGTTTCACTGACACGGCATCTTCTCTTTTTTATTTTTAGCCTCATCACCGTCGCTGAATTTCTAGGCCAGTACCACGAGGAAAAAGAACCTCCAGCATGGGTGGTGCGACATCGGGCAGAATTTCACTCAAGGTTCGACAAAAACAAAGACGGTAAAATGGACCGTGAAGAAGCGAGAGAATGGGTCTTTCCCGAAAAGAATGATTCCCATGACGAAACACTTCATCTGATCGACGGAACAGACGAGAATGCTGATGGTTTCCTCTCTGTTGATGAAATCTTACTGCACTGGAATCTGTTTGTTGGAAGTCTAGCCACTGATCATGGCAACACTTTGAGAAAAGTTAAACATACGGAACTCTAGTTCGGTGAAAAAAGTTGAGTTTGGGTTACACTACAACAGATAACAAACTTAATAAATATATGCTAGAATCGATTCGTCTCAGTATTCTGTCAAAGCTATCTTCGTTTTCTATCAAACTAGCTTATCTCTTTTAATCTACAAATTAAAATTCTTGTAATCAGCGAGGGCCTTAAAGTATGAGATCGCTAGTAATCGCTGTATAGCTAAGATATTATCTTTCTAGACTAATTTTTTGGTTGTTAAAGGAAGCGATAACAAGCACAGTCAAAGTGGTTGTAAGATGTTTGGTTAATTACATTCTGTTTTGATAATGCTGGAGCTTAACATTTCCCAATAAAATGAATGCTGATGATCTGTTTTACAAGGCGGCGAAAGTCATGTTAGAGTGTTAACGTTTGTCCGAGAAATAAATTTCTTTTCTTTCCTGAAGTTTGTGACGGTAGCTGATGTAATTTAATATGGATTACTTTTGCTTGAAAAACTGTAACATGAGGTCTTCATCAATCTCCCTTTTAACAGAAAAATAACAATAAAATGAATGCTGATGATCTATTTTACAAGGTGGCGAAAGTCATATTAGAGTGTTAACGTTTGTCCGGGAAATAAATTTCTTTCTTTCCTGAAGTTTGTGACGGTAGCTGATGTAATTTAATATGGATTACTTTTTCTTGAAAAATTGTAACATGAGGTCTTCATCAATCTCCTTTTTAACAGAAAAATAACAGTAGTTCATTATTCAATAATGATTTGAGTTTATTTACAATTCAGATCTAATAGGGCGCGACGAATTTAAAATATCTTCAAAAAAAACTAGTTTGCTCAAAAGATGCGATAAAGTTCAGCAAGTTGCACACTAATTGTCAGTGTCAGTGATATTCTCCACGATCTTCAATCTGCGACATAAACAACTGTCGAACCTTATGCCGCTTATGCATGGCAATATCATCATACCGCTGTGCATAAATCCTGTAGATCTCGCTGCGCCTCTCTCTGGTGTCGTTGATTGAAAGCCGTGGCTCCTCCTCTACAAGCCGCCGGTTGCAAGAGGGTGTCATACCGGCTTGCACCTTCACTTTTCCCGCCTTTTCTACAGTTCGCGCTTTTCCTGAAGGCTTGTTCTGAGTCTCACTCCCAATGACCGGGAGTTTAGAACCGGGGGCAGACTGGGAAAGAGGGAAAGGTTTTAATACGGTACACGTATGTCGGTTTACTAAGCCTATACCGAACCTGTCCCACCAAAACGACACTATTAGGCGCGATTTCTCATCGTTTAATGTATCAACGATACATTATTACAAAACTCATTGGTAAGAGCAGAAGACCACTTGAGCTAAGTGAGAAAAATTTCTAGGGAAGACTTCACGTTTGAGTATTTTGCCACAGCTTGACGTGAGACAATAAAGGTGCATCCATCTTCCGTAAAGAAGAGCACACACAAAAGTAAAAACTGTTTACTTTTGGAAAAAAGGACATCCGTAACGTTCACTAAACGGTTTGAACGTAACGTTGCTTGCTGTTTAACCTCGTTTATTGACGATCCTACAATTCACTTAAACATTAAAAGTAAAAAGAACCAATCATCAGATGTTTACCTGAGCCCGAAGTAACTGAGCATGCCAGTAATTTGATATCGTCACATGACCTGCGAACTCTTTATTTATTCCTTCCAATCTACAGAAAAATTCAGTTTCAAATCAAATGCAACTTTTTTTTTGAGGGGAAATTAGTGCATTGGACTAATGTGTTTAAGTCAAAAAAAAAAAAAAGATCTGGGAAAATAAAAAAAAGTTAATCGAACTGTTCACGACACCGCGCTCTGTGAGTACCCGTTAGAAGGTGTGTATCACAACCGCTAATGATATTTCCAAGGCTATTTCCAGATTGAGAATATCTTACCCTACAATTCGCAACAAAAGATTGACACATTGCAAAATGGAAACGGTTTATAAATTAAACCAGCGAGGACTCAAAAGTGATAAGGAGTGTTCCCCATAAGGTCACAGAAGCCATTTTGATGTACCAATGCTACGGAATGGCAGCCATGTTGGTGCACCAAGCTAATCCTTCGGGATTTTAACTCCTTTCCAATGCAAACTACCGTCATTTTTTCGTTTAGAGGCATTTTCATAACTGATCACAACTCGAGTTAAAGTGCTCTATACAAGCTCTAAGACACTGGAAACTTACTCTTTGGCAAGTGCCATCTTCAATTCATTTTCACTTCTATCAGACTTTGTAGACATCCATGGAGTCTCCATCACAATCTGCGACAGAATAGATTATTATTGTTGTTGCTGTTATTTTTGTTTTTTGTTTTTTTTGTTTTTTTTGTTTTTTGTTTTTTTTTTCAACGTTATGCACCAGGTGGCCAACAAACACTCTAGTTTCGCTACAGGCCATACTTCATACACAACTGTTAAAGTACCGTTATTTTCGACAGTCTCACTTGTTTTGGAACAAGTCGATCTCTTGCTAATTTGAAGGTTGATCACAGCTATATCGTTAGAACAATCGATGCTAGCGCTAGAGAAAGTCAGACACTCGAAGCATATACCCGTAAACCAAAACTAAAATGATAGAAATTATCACAAGGAACGACGGAGACTAAAAAGTTAAAAGAAGAGTGAGCGTCGAAATCGTGTTGGTTGTAGTCTTGTATGTGACAGTTTAAGAGTGTAGTGCGCGTTTTCTAAATAGAGTAAAGTAAAGCAAAACCAATGCAATCTTGGATTCCCATACTTAGTAGAAATAGCACTCATGGGTCTCATAGCGAATACTAAAATATAAAACTGACCTGTTTGGATGGAGTGAGCTGGGGCGAGAGTGAGGCAAGTTTGGGGGGACGTTCACCAGAAGAGACAGACTGAAACAAAAGAGGCCAAGAGGATCATGGTCATGACACGTGGTTTGGGAAATAGAATACTAGTGATGTTCTCAAAACGTTGTTGTTGTTGTTTTAATGAGGTCCACAAGTAGTATAATGTCGCTTAAAAGTCGCTGTCAACTAAAAAATTATACTTAATAGTTTCTGTTTCTTGTATCAATAAATGGAAAATGCGAAGAAAATATGAAGAAAATGGAGTATTTATTGTCCTCCTCAAGTGGAATGCTGGTCTATCGCATTTTACGTCACTCCTCCCCACCCCCTCAGAATTTCGTCTGGTTACCCAGACAGTTCGCTGGTCTCCATTTCTATTTAGAGATCTCGTTGCTGGGAGGGACTGGGAAGCACTCAAGCGCCAATCAGTAGGTCACCGCTTCTCTAAGGATTAATGTTGAATGGGATTTACTGATGCATAGTGCCGGTTTAGACCAGTAACAGGAAGATTGCTCTTAAGAAAGAAAAGGTACTTACCTCACGAAGGGACGAATAAGTCCGTGTTTTCCCTTTCTCGATATAATCTGTGGAGGAAGAAGACGATTAACATTTCGTTGTTGTTATTGTTGTTGTTGTTGTTTCTTGGAAAAATAAGAGGAAAGAAGAGAAAGGCAAGAAATGAAAGAAAGAAAACACATTTCCACTACAACAACTTTCCCTTAAAAGTTTGCGCCTAGATTCATGAGGGGTTTTACCCCCTTACCAAGCAAAGCTGTGACCACAGCCAGTGTAGATTTCAACAGGAGCTGGTTTCCTTCGGTCTTGTTGAAAAGTAACGACTGTCCTACTTCGTAAAAGCCAAGGGAGGCGAGGAGCTGCTGCAACTCAGGATTGTACCACAATGAGCGGAGGACAAAATCACTCGTCTTCATGATCCTCTCAGGGTAACGACTGCTTAAGCTGAGCTGAAGCGGGTAAAATAGCGTATGTTTATCATAATTTACATTATGCATTAGAACGATTCTGAAATAAGTATGGGTAGTAGAAGCAGTCGTGGGTATATGTCCAGCTCCACTGGAGAGTTCATTGCTGCAGAGTAAACTGAAGTGATAAGATACTTACAAATTCTTTGAGCTTTTCCATCGTGTTTTTCTTCAAGGTGTTTGTGATCTTAGCTAAGGCGTAACCTCCACTGGAAGATTCCTTCAAGATATCTACACAATTGAACAAATAAATATAAATAAATACTGAAAAACAAATAAACAAAAAATGAGCAAACAAAATGGTGAGATTACGCGAGTTTTCAATACTAATTTTCCATAAACTTCTTAAGAAAGCTACGTCTAGAAAAAAACGTTAGCCCGGAAATTTGAGACTTTTAATTTGCTATCTGTTTATGTCTACAACATCATTAACCACTCGTCTATTTCTGGTTCATTCTTCCTGTTTTGGTGATTTTCAATATCACCAAACATATCATTGTGGTTTCTATTCCGTGAAAGGCAAATATACTTATCGAAGAAAATGATGTAAAAATAATGTAACAAAGCGCCTTTACTGAAGCACATTTTATGAGGGACTAAACGAACGTAGCTCATCGAGCAGAGTTACTAATTGCTCCTTTGCCTCGCAATAACCTTTACGTCCAACTTGTCCACGACTATTGATGGCACGTGAACGCTACTTACCGCAAACAGCCTGCAGGATTTGTGACGTCATAGTCAGGGTCCCGTCAGGGTCCCAGTGAGGAAACACAACAAATGGATCTTTGTCATGTGCACCGTCCTTTTGAAAGTCAAACCCTAAGAAGATGAGGAACTCTCTGGCACAAGGGGACTCCAGAACATGGGAGCTCAGTTGTGCACACATGGTTGGGTCCCCCTTAAGGAGGAGCTCAGGATGGTGAGTTAATAAGTGCATTTGATGAGCCAACTGTATCTGAAAGTTTGAAAATTGAAAGAGAGTGAGTGGCCAAGAGGTTTAGAATAGCCGTCAAGTAAAACACTCAAAACAAAGAGAATGGTTCAAGGGATCAGTTTTGGAATAACGAGTCAATACATCTCAAACTATCCGAGAAAAGATCTGAGATCTCAGAGAATGGTAGACTTTTGTACGACTAGGGGTGGGGCATATGACCCGATCATACACTTGATAGCTTCAGACTTGATTATCCAAGATTAACAAAAAATTTTTATCTGAGAAAAGATCATCTGAGATCTCAGAGAATGGTAGACTTTTTTGCGACTAGGGGTGGGGCATATGACCCGATCATACACTTGATAACTTACATACATTGTACACTTGATAGCTTCGGATTTGATTATCCAAGATTAAAAAAACGCATTATTAAAATTATTAATTATTATTATTGATTATTAAAATGTATTACAAATTGTATTCCAGTAAATGGTTTGAACAGGAAGGTAATATGTGATAGTGTAGTTTGATCGTTCGGGTGAGTGTAGTCCTGAGAAGGACTGTTGTCAGTAGTGGTTACTGACGTTTCGACAATTTGAGCGGAACTCATTAAATTGTTGAAACGTTAGTGACAGCTACCGACAATAGTCCTTCACAGGACATAACTGAAGGTTAATAATTACATAACACAGAAATAACAAGAATTCATTGGTAGTACACCCGTGAAGTTAGCTCTTATCTTACCAAGTCCCGGAGAGCTGGCAGCACATGCGATACTGATGTGTGCTGTAATAAGAGCTGTGTCAGCATCTCTTGAAAT